CCCCCCCCCCCCCCCCCCTCAAAATTGCAGTTAAAATCGCAAATAATAGCAGCTTAGACTCTGAAAGTATCATAGCAACAAGTCTGGCAGGAGCACATTATAATTTGAATCGGCCAGCATGCCAAAGTCACACAACATCACAGTGACTGCCTACTGACACGAGTGCTGACTGAAATGGACCAAATTTAGCAATTTTCTGAATAAGTATTAAAATTGTATTTTCTTCCACAATTCTCAACATGTTTAGTCATAAAATGTTTATTATTTTAAATGTTGCCGAAATATAGCTTTATTCTCACTAAGCCCCCCATTTAGTAAATCATATATAATCTACTACAAATGACTTTCAACAGAGCCTTGAATAAATTTTCCAGAGAGTAAAAGATGAACATACTGACTTTTCAGCCTTTTCACTCTGTGGTTCTCAACATTTTCAGGCACTCTTAAAACATCTTCTGTCCGTCGTGGAACATTTGAATCAGAGAAGTTGCATTTATCATGCTCTAAAGTGCTCATCTTCAGAAAAGAACAATACAGTACATTGTCTATTATACAGCCTTAACATGTTAGGGCTCTCTTTTGTTGTGTGTGGACCACAATTAAGGTGCGTGTGCTTTGCTAGCATGTAGCATTAAAACAATGATCCACAGCTGTTATCGGTCAATCAATAACGTGAGGTTTGCGGTAGAATAGACAAAGCTACAATATACTCTACCGTTCAAAGTTTGGAGTCTGTAAGATTTCTTTCTTTCTTTTTTTAAAATAAATGTATACTTTTATTCAGCAAGGATGGATAAATGAATAAATAAATCTATTTCAAATAAATGCTGTTCTTTTGAACTTTCTATTCTCCAGAAAATCCTGAAAGAAACATATCACAGATACTACAAAAAATATTAAGCAGCAAAACTGTTTTCAAAATTGATAACAATAATAAATTTTTCCTGAGCAGCATATTACAATGATTTCTGAAGAATCATGTGACACTGAAGACTGGAGTATATTCAGAACGGAAAATTCAATTTTGCCATTTTGGAATAAATTGCATTAAATTACATAATTACAATTAAAATATAATAAAACAGAAAACAGTTATTTACATTTTTGTAATTTTAATTTAATGTAATAACATTTTCTCAATATTATATTTTTTACATTATTTTAATAACTCAAATAAATGCAGCCTTGGAGAATATAAGAGACTTCTTTCCAAAAAAAAAAAAAAACTTTACTGACCCCAAACTTTTGAACGGTAGTGTATTAAATATGTATATGTATTAAACGTATGTATGCAAATAAACCAATAAATAAATTTATCTCATAACTTTAAAGACATAACCTGCTTTTTGAAGATTTATTATATTTATGATAATCATCAGGGAAATAAATAACATTAAAAATGCCTTGGTTTATACAAACAATCACAAACAATTTAAACAACCAGATCAATGAAGAAACTCCTGATTTAACAGATAAACCCACACGTCAAATATTATAATCAATTTAAATGACATTTTATCAGCCCATTTAATTAAATGTAGTTTAACCATTACTGACCCTTGTATCTGCTAGTACATGCTTATAAGGTTAAAGCCATTACCTCTGTGACAGTTGATGAACACTTTCTTTTGTCCAGCTATGTGGGCGTGGTCATTCTCGTCACCGATGGTGATAGTGAGGGTGTTTGTGACGGTCTTCGGTGGACTGCCGCTATCGGTCATGATGACAGGTAGTAGAAACTCTTTCTGTCTTTCCCTGTCGAATGCTCTCAGTGTGGTGATGGTGGCCGTGTCATTCCCATTATCCTGCAGGTGGAAATCATTGCTGTAACGATACTCCAGAGGCACAGAGAAGGAAAAGGGTGAGCCGTTCTCCTCTGAATCTTGGTCCACGGCTCTCAATAACGTGGAGCTCTGGTTAAGCTGCACAACCTGCGGGCCCAAAACGTTCTCCCACACTATTGGTGCGTACACAGCCTCAAACTCAGGGCCGTTGTCGTTGACATCCAGCAGAGCCATCTGGATAGTTGCAGTGCCAGTCAACGGTGCTGTGCCGTGGTCTGTCGCAAGTACAACCAAGTGATGCTGTGCGACCTTTTCCCGGTCCAGCTCACTAGCCACAGTGACCAACCCCGACTGGTCCACAGAAAACAGATGGTACGGATCAGACTCCGGAGCAATGCTATAAGTGATCTCGCGATTCAACCCCGAGTCCAAATCAGTGGCAGCCACACTTGCCACGCTGGTTCCTGGAGCGACATCCTCTCGTACGGCAGGAAGCTGTAGAAAGTGAGGAATGAAGACTGGCGCGTGGTCGTTGCAGTCTTCGACCTCTAGCGTGCAGTGAAGCAAGCTGGAGTACTGCATATCCTCCACTTTGATGGTGAGGTTGAAGCGTTGCTCGCCCGGTCTTTCGTAATCCAGATGCTTCTTGAGACGAAGGGTCCCGCGCTGCTCCTGTCGATGGCTCACCATGTAAAACTTCTGTTCGGGATCACCGGCCACCACACTGAAGGTCAGCTGGCCATTCTCTCCAGCATCTGCATCCTCTGCGGCAAGCTCTATGATTGGTGTGTTGGGCTCACTGCTCTCAGGAATGCGTATGGAGCACGAGCGGTCCAGGAAATGTGGGACGTGGTCGTTGACGTCTGTCACGTGTATAGTGGCGGTGGCCGTTCCTATCATACCTCCACCATCTCGTGCTTCCACCACCAAGATATACGAGTCGGTCTGCTCCCTGTCCAGACCAGACATTGCCACTGAAACCGTCCCAGTAGCGGGATTGATGCTGAAAACATCTGCTCCTCTATTAGCGCCATTAAGGGCGGCATTACCTACGATCTTATAGGCCAACACTGCGTTTTGTCCGACAGCTGCATCATCCAGATCAGTGGCTGTCATCTCCATGACGGAAGTGCCAGGCGGGGAGTTCTCAGTCACGTCGCCATTGCAATTGTCCGGGGCACAAGCAAAAAGAGGAGCGTTGTCGTTTATGTCCCACACGTTGATAATGACATCGGTGAATCCTGTTAGTCCCTCACCACCTTCATCTGTGGCCAGGACCACAAAACGCCACACTGCCCGGGCCTCGCGGTCTAATGTTATCTGAGCATAAATCTTCCCCGTCACCTCGTCAATGATGAACTCGCTCTCAGCACCTTGACCATGAAGGGAATATCTCAAGGCCTCCTGGTCAGCATCCTTATCTGGGTCAGATGCTGTTACCTGCAAAATCAAATCAAATATATTAAATTTGATAAAATAAATTAATTTGATAAGATAAATTGAATATTCAGTCTGCAAACTCTAACATAAGATCAAATCATCAATCCATTCAAACAACCTTCTAATCGTACGTCCACGCATCCATCCACCCATCCATCCATCCATCTCTACTGTTCTGCACTTTAGTGGTTATAGACATGCTAAGCTAGGAGTTGTATTTCAAGGATAAATGCCAAACAACCGAATAACAACAACAGAATACTACGAAATTTCAAGGATAAATGCCAAACAACCGAATAACAACAACAGAATAGAAAGAAAGAAAGAAAGAAAGAAAGAAAGAAAAAAAAAGAAAGTTTAAGGAAAAACTTTAAACTCCTTCTTGACAAAGAAAATTAAAAAGTTAGGAAATAAGATTACCTCCAACAACTTTGGAATAAAAAGATTAAACATTCGGATTAAAAATGAGCCTCTAACATCTTTGGACAAATAAAGTGATGTCACTCGCTGCAAATTCAGACTTTTAATAATTAACTTAGTTTTTTTGGACTTTAATCATTACGCATGAACCCGTGAGACTCGATCAAAATGTTGAATGCATTAAGAAGAACAAATCAATCACAGTTTTCACTATAATTACGAAACACAAAATACCCTGGTAAGGTAACATAAATTAGTGTTTGGGCAATTTCCAATGAATTGTTGTATTATTCATTTTCAAATAGCCTATTAATGAAAGAAGAATGTGGTAATCACACGTCCATGACCTGTTTTTGTTACATTTAGAGGAGCTCCTAATATTTTCTTTCTATTTTTTATTTTTTTTTAATTAAGAAACAGGAGCCACAAAAAAAGTTGCTATTTTAAAATGACAAACATGTGATCTGAAAATTGAACAGAGCTGATATGTACAATACAGAGAATGTAAAGGCAGTACCTGCAACACAAAGACAGGAGAACCGTCCAGCTCCTCTGTCATGCTGCCATAGTACTCGTTCACAGAGAACACAGGTGCTTCGTCGTTCTTATTCACAATGGTGACTATTACAGTAGCATAATCTTCCCACTTCCCATCAGACGCCAAGACGTGCAACTTATAGAGCTTGTTCTGTTCATAATCCAGCGGCTGGGCGATGAAGATGGTTCCCACCTCGGGCTCCATGTCAAAAACACCTCCCACATTGCCTGATGTAATCTGGTAGCGCAATTTGGCATTAGCACCTGAAGAATAAGAGGAGTTAATGAAAACAAAGAAAACTTTTAAGAGGAACAAAGAGGAAAGCATAGACTTACACTGACACTGATATAAAGGCTATTGAACAAAAAGCTAAAATTCAAAAACTTTTAAAAGTGGAAAAATGGTTAGCAGGAAAAATGTATCTATTTAAAATACGATAACAAGCTTTTAACATGTGATCTGAAAATTGAACAGAGCTGATATGTACAATACAGAGAATGTAAAGGCAGTACCTGCAACACAAAGACAGGAGAACCGTCCAGCTCCTCTGTCATGCTGCCATAGTACTCGTTCACAGAGAACACAGGTGCTTCGTCGTTCTTATTCACAATGGTGACTATTACAGTAGCATAATCTTCCCACTTCCCATCAGACGCCAAGACGTGCAACTTATAGAGCTTGTTCTGTTCATAATCCAGCGGCTGGGCGATGAAGATGGTTCCCACCTCGGGCTCCATGTCAAAAACACCTCCCACATTGCCTGATGTAATCTGGTAGCGCAATTTGGCATTAGCACCTGAAGAATAAGAGGAGTTAATGAAAACAAAGAAAACTTTTAAGAGGAACAAAGAGGAAAGCATAGACTTACACTGACACTGATATAAAGGCTATTGAACAAAAAGCTAAAATTCAAAAACTTTTAAAAGTGGAAAAATGGTTAGCAGGAAAAATGTATCTATTTAAAATACGATAACAAGCTTTTTGCTGCAGGTGAACAATAAACTGCTTCAATGGCCTTTAGAGGTTACTGTCAAGAGTAGCCTTGGAAACTTGCCACAATGGAAACATAGACCAATAAACTTCAAATTAGGTGGAGATATGTCTGAATGAAAATGTATTTTATTTTTCACAATAATCTGTGAAAAACGTTCATTTCAGATTTTTCCTGCGCTAAAACTTTGTTTTGTACTTTTGCATAGCTCTTGTCAGACATTCAATCAAAAGTCCATTCAGCTCAAGCTCTCTTCTGAAGCACACAAGTTCAAACTCAAAAGAAAATGCAGTGTTCAAGACTCATGTAGCTTAAACATTTTTTATTCTGTCAATGCCACCAACACGGCCCCATTCTGTGCTTTTGTGCATGTAACTCAGATTAAATTTTTTATTTTTTTTTTTTCTGAATTAAATCATGGACAGTTTAGTTTGATTAAGCACAAGAAAGGTAAAAGAGTGGATTCAATTCAAATCTCTTTGACTACCTTCTGCAAAACACAAAATTGGAGGTCTAAAATCAAGGCTCAAAATATTTTTTTTTTTTTCACAGAAGAAATTAAGTCATGTTGGTTTGGAATGAAATGTGGATGAGTAAATGATAATTTTCATTATATAATTACACATTTAATATCACATATATTTAAAGAGGTGTGTTTTTGTTTTTGAGAATATCTTCTCAGTAGTGTTTGTACAAATGACTAACTCTTAAATTTTATTCTTAATGAACTTTGATGATCATTGAATTTCATACGAAGACAAAAATAATAAATACAGTTATTATAATTAAAAGGTTAATTTTGTGTTGGTTACTATTTTTGGCAAATTAAACAAACATGTCGTCACGTGTAAAAGGAATTAACAGCATCAAATATACTTAAGATATTTAAATAGATTTAATATATTTAACTAATACTGGTACCATTAGGTAAAATATAACATATAAATATAACATATATAATATAATATATAAGTAATGTGACAGATACATAGCAAATGAAATGTTTCTCAATATTGGTGGTATTCTCAGAATTTCATTTGGTACAGACATGAATACTCAAAATATTATTTTTAAAATCAATATTAACTCCACTGTTGTTCAGTCATAGTGCAAGCAGGATGTGACAGTTGGTTGATGTGGGATTTGTCCCACCCCTCCTCCACTGTGATTGTGACAGCTAGATAAAAAGTGACAGTGATGAACGTTGCATTTTACCCAAAGTTGAAAATTTTTCAACTCTAGGCAACAAGTAAATTGCACAGTGTAAAACAGACACTTAGCATCTCATCACGCTTCTACCGTTTTTAAAAATGTACAACGCTTCCACCAAAACAATTGAAAAAATACGCTAGCCTCATAAGAAAAAAATGCTTTGGTGGACACACGGCCTAACACACTTTGATAAACTGATTTTATGCTGTTAGGTAAATTTGGCGGGCACATTTAATATGACAATGAACAATCTCACAAAGAAAAATGGATTTAGGTCAATATCACCTGTGCTGTGAACGTAGCCAATGAGAGCTGCAGCATACAGTAGACCCAAAACCACACTTCAGTATGCAAAAATACTTGTGACCTCACAACACGGCAAGCCACATAACTTTATTGTCTGCGTGTTCTTTGAATCCATCCAGCCTGTGATATTTAGGGTGTCTATTGCTTGTGCTAACCGAATTTGTAGGACAGAGTTCGCCAAACCTGAATTTTGGTTCACATTTCGTTCACATGCGAACAGATGGAAGTCCAAACAAGCTTAAAAGAAAATGTTTGGATCCCCTGTTGGGCTCTGTTAATTAGACAGTGAAGGATGCAATGCATGTGTTGTGAGCATGCTATTTTATTAAATTCTTTATAACTCCTTTGCTGTTATTTTGTATTTAGGACTCAAAGCTCATCTCTCTGAGGTCGGTAATAAATGCAAAGAGACTTCATATAAACAAATAACCCAGTTGAGCAAACAGTGCAAAAACACTCCTGCTTAACAATCCTTCAGATCTGCTCGCAGTGTGTTTAGATATCCCTGCTGGTACGAGGTTAATGAATAGGGAACGACACATTAGGAGCCTTATCGCCATTTCATCTCCACCATCTCGTGTTGCCTTGGGTACCTCAACAAAATTGCATTAGGGAATATTTGGCTTATTTGCGTTTTCTGCTAATACACAGAATCACGGCTTCCTTATGAAAGCACAGATGTGCTATGATGGCTCTGCTCCAGTGGCTGCGCGGGTTAAGTCAGAGCTGCAGCGAAGGCTGAAATCTATTCATCAGGGTAAAGCTTCAGGTTCGGGGAATGTCCAGCCACTCCAGGCTATATTATGATGAATGACTGATACAAGAATTCCCTTCCTCTCTCCTGCATCAAATCCACACTGAGGAGCACGACGTGGATTCAGCTGGACCACAGGGAACGCGCTTCAGTAGTGCATCTGTATATCCAGACAGGCTGGCTGATGAGTTATGTAGACTATCCTCTTCCAGCGTATTTCTGGAGTGTGTGTGATAAAGCAAAAATATTATCCAAGGCTTTTGTATGGCAATGTATGAGGCCGGTTATCTTGGGAGCAGCATTTGTTATGTTGTCAGGGTATATTGATGAGGAACCAACTGTCTCTGTCTCTCATTCATGAGCGGTACAGATACAGAATATGAGAGCAATAGCCTGGAGACAAACTCAAACTCATGGGAACATGTTCTAACTGTGTTTCATTAATATCGCTGTGAGCTAGCCAAGCCCTGTGAGTGGTTTATGCACTAATATAGTCCAACTGCTGAAACACTGTAAATACCGAAAGAATATTTCCCTTTTTATTTGATATTCCACATTTTTCCATAATTGTAATCTTTTGAAGTACTATTTTTGTAATAAAATGAATTGTATAATAAAGCATGCCTAGTTTTTCCTCATAATTAATGATATTGTTATTTTTTATAAGGTCTTCATTAATTAATTATTGTGGCTATATTATGATGAATGACTGATACAAGAATTCCCTTCCTCTCTCCTGCATCAAATCCACACTGAGGAGCACGACGTGGATTCAGCTGGACCACAGGGAACGCGCTTCAGTAGTGCATCTGTATATCCAGACAGGCTGGCTGATGAGTTATGTAGACTATCCTCTTCCAGCGTATTTCTGGAGTGTGTGTGATAAAGCAAAAATATTATCCAAGGCTTTTGTATGGCAATGTATGAGGCCGGTTATCTTGGGAGCAGCATTTGTTATGTTGTCAGGGTATATTGATGAGGAACCAACTGTCTCTGTCTCTCATTCATGAGCGGTACAGATACAGAATATGAGAGCAATAGCCTGGAGACAAACTCAAACTCATGGGAACATGTTCTAACTGTGTTTCATTAATATCGCTGTGAGCTAGCCAAGCCCTGTGAGTGGTTTATGCACTAATATAGTCCAACTGCTGAAACACTGTAAATACCGAAAGAATATTTCCCTTTTTATTTGATATTCCACATTTTTCCATAATTGTAATCTTTTGAAGTACTATTTTTGTAATAAAATGAATTGTATAATAAAACATGCCTAGTTTTTCCTCATAATTAATGATATTGTTATTTTTTATAAGGTCTTCATTAATTAATTATTCTACATTTCCCTTGCAATTTACAGAAAATGCATCAGGTGTTGAAGATCACACTTGAGCTGTGATGTCAGGTTCTCAAATCTACGACCCTCATTTACACCCCGAGTCAACACTTCATATTTCCTACTTCCCTCTTACAAATTAGCATTTTGTTCTACCCATCATCCTCATCTTCACCTACCTTCATCTTCATCATTAGCGCTGACAGTGAGGATGGTGGAGCCCACGTCAGCATCCTCATCCACGTCAACCTCATACACGGACTGCGCAAACACTGGCTTGTTATCATTCACGTCGCTGATGAAAATACGCACATACGCCGTATCTGACAAGAGTAGAAACACACAAGATTAGCAATCTTTGTTCAGACACTCTTATCTTTACTTCACTTTTCTTGTCTTTCTTACATTCAAGTGTTTGCTTCTGTCATTTCCCCACTTCTCTTTCTCCTCCCTCCTATCTTTGTAAATATCTGACATTTCCAATTCCATCAAATTCATGTGTCTTCTGTTTGTCCCATTCATTTTCTGTCCATCTTCATCTCTCTATCTTCCTCTCATGTGTGTGGCTCTACGTTGTGTCTGAAGTCATCAGGTGATGTGAGGGGTTCTGTGTTTACTGAGTGCAAGCAAGTGAAATTTGTGATGCTTGCCCCATTTAAATGAGCTCTACGTGATATAATTATCAGTAGACACATCAATTACAATCTGCTGCTGAAGATAAGAACAATTATTAAAGGAAAAGTTCACCCGCAAATGAAAGACAAGGCGCAAATAGTGTTGTATGCTATTTGTAATTAGTGCAGATACCTGCACATCAGCTTATTGTAGTACAATATAAAAAAACATGCAATAATAATAACAAATTCAGGGTATATATTGTATTTATTTAATCATAAAAGGATAAATGGCTGCCATATTGGGACCTTACTTGCTTCTATATCCCTAAAGCCCAACCCTACATCTACCACCATATTGAACCTCCAATAAAGGCAAAGCCTATTAAATGCCCATTAAACACACTTTAATTCCAATAATAAATACCACTTTATTTCCACTTTTGGAATATTTTATTCATTTTTATTTAAAAAATAAATGCCTCTCCGAGCTGATATGTAATTGGAAAAAGGAGAAGAATGGGATCAGAAAAAAGCAGGCTCAAACTCGGGCCGGTTGCGTCAAAATCATTCACTCACCCTCATGTTATTGTTGTTCCAAAACTTTATAACATTCTTTCTTCAGTGGAACATAAAAGAAGACATTTTGAAGAATTCTGATCATCAAAAGGGTTTGAAAAGAAAAAAAAAAAAAAAAAAAACGGAAAAAAAGAGACATTTCTCAATATATCTTTTATGTTCCACTGAATAAAGCCATACATGTTTAGAATGACAGGAAAAATTTTGGTAGCACTTTATTTTAAGGACCTACAGTCTTAAAAATAAAGGTGCTTCACGATGCCATAGAAGAACCTTTTTGTCTAAATGGTTCCATAAAGAACCTTTAACATCTGAAGAACCTTTCTGTTTCACAAAAGGTTCTTTTGGGCGAAAGAAGGTTCTTCAGATTATAAAAAGGTAAGAAAGAGATGGTTCTTTAAAGAACCTTTGACTGAATGGTTCTTTGTGGAACCAAAAATGGTTCTTCTATGGCATCGCTTGAAGAACCTTTTGAAGCACCGTTATTTTTAAGATGCTTATTAGCATGCATATAACTACCATATTGGCTGTTTATTAATACTTATAAAGCACATATTAATGCCTTATTCTGCATGACCATATTTCAGATCCCTTAACCCTACCCCATACCTAAACTTAACCTTAGTACTATTAATAAGCAGCAAATTAGCAGTATATTAAGGGAAATATTCCTTATTCTAAAACTGTTCCTTATTCTTAAGTGCTACCGAAATGTCATTTTTAGGTGAACAATCACTTTAAAGCAACAAATCCTATGGTACTCTAAAAAAACACTGAAGAACTTAAACAATCAAACACGTAGTGACCTTTTCAGAGCCTTCAGCTCAGTCAGGGCTGTGAGAGGCGGATAGACTCGTAGATAAAGTGTCTGATTCGAGTCTTGATCCCGCTCTCTTTCTGACGTGTTATGTTGTGTAAAAAGAGCACAGCATACGCTTAGCTGCCACCCTTTGACAGGTTGGCATGTTGTTCAGAGCTCCGCCATGAAGACGCGGTCATGTTTTCCCCTCACAAACGCAGAGGCACAACTCTGTTGTGTGATTTTCTTCTCAAACAGCACTTGTGTTTTGTTTCCTTGTCATACTGACGTTTTTGACAGCATCTTAGTGCAATTAGCGTTCACACGTTTCTGAGTAATTATGTGTGTGTACGTGACTCTCCGCTAATCAACACTCTGTCTCCTGTGTGCTGGACCATATTTGACACTGCCGTGTTGTCAAATTGATCATCTAAATTTGTGTATTTCATTACAGTTGTAAGTGTGCTGGAGTGCACGTCTCCTCTGTTTGGAGTGCAAGGCAAACTGTGAGCGGACAGACAGCAGAGGAGGACAGAGAGTACTGGAGCAGACTCAATTCTCTCTCAGACTGTCCCTGCTGCTCCCTGATATTGCCCCTTCTCCTCTGGCACCTTCATCAACATTTAAACCAGCAACTTTTTTGTCTAGTTTACTTCAAGTGTTAGTGTGTTATTTAGGCAAAAGAGACATATTAATATTCCACACAATGAATGAAAAATACATTTGTGTGAGACTCTGGCTAGCCCTGTGGTCTAACAAATCCAAACAAACTGTCACGCTGTCTATATTAAACAAGGATTATGCAATGTAATATTTTATGCAGCTAATGGAAATATTCCCCTGAACTTTAGATCCTCTTTAGCTTTGTATTGTGAAGTCCCACTACCCCACTGGCTATGTTCAAACAGTCAGTGTTTGTGACTGACAGCTGTAATTACTAACTTATATTAATCTTGTATAAATTCTTGTTTTATTGATAGGATCAATGACCATTGTGACAGTGACAAACACAAGCTTCAAATATGGTCTGCATGAGTCCTGAATATTTAAGGGAGGCAGTTTGGTTCTAAAATAGGCTATAAACTGGAAGTCGTAACTGAGCTGTGTGTCAATTAAATGGTATTTAGCAGTCTAAAACTGACTGCAAGTGTGATATTGCTTTAATACAACAGTTCAATAAAGTTGATATTGAATAACTTTCTTTCCAGACACAATTGTCAGCAGTGAACTTTACTTTCCATTAAGTGGAGATATTTGCCTCCTTAAACTGATTTCAAGGAGCGTATTATAAGTATACACTGTCTTTTATGTCAAATTCTTACATTTTATTACACTTAGTTTAAACACTATAATGCTGTTACCAATCAAATGAAATCAGTATCAACAAAATTCATCTTTAGACTGCAGATGTGGCTCAGAAGCTGCATCTGAAGTGTCATTTAGAAGTAGTTGCACAATAAATAATGTGATGAGATTAATGTTTTTGAATACATTTTAATCTCATGACATTATGAACTGCTTTAACCAAAAAAACGTTCAGAGTGCAGACCAATCTTAGCACTTTTTTTTTTAAATAAAGTAATATAAAAAGATTGAAGAAAGATTCAATTATACTTTAAATATTAAACTAAAACCACCTGTAGTGACAGTAAACCTCTGTCTTCATGAGTCAGTCATTTCTTGAATTGATTCATTCAAGTGGCCGATTAATTCAGGAACCAAGCAATTGGATGTTCTTATAAAGGGTTACTGATTCATTGACCCTCCTGATTCATTCAAAAACATGGATTTATTCAGAAACAAAAACAGTGCTGTTTTGTTTGTAGAAGTGCAATAATATTTGCTGTGACTTTGTTTGGAATTATTTTCATTGTTGAAACTGTCTGAAAATTAAGTCACTTAATATTAACATCTCGTGTATTGAACTGTGGTATAAAATAATTTTTCATATCAGCACTTGTGCTAATATTTGGGAAAAAACAGCTTACATTTATATTGCTTAACTATGTCATATATTATAAATATGAAGACAATAACTCATACACAGGCATTTTCTGCCATCATCTCATATTTTAGAAGCATTTTTAATCATTTCAGTGGTATTTTTAATCCATGTTCCCATTTTTAACCCTTATTGTCAGTTACTTTATGTATTTCTGCACCACCAAATGAAAGCAACCACTAGGGGAGACTGGGGATGGTTGTAACATTTTTGACATTTTTGTCTGTATCTTGGAGTTCTTTTAAGCCAGTGTGTTCAAAATGTGATTCAAACTAGTTACAAGTGTCTGCTATTAAATGGCATAGCAGTTATCTTTGCAGCACAAACAGAAAATGCTTTGTTTAGTTTCAAACATGAGGAGTGAAATGTTACACTCTAAAAAATGCTGGGTTGTTTCAACCCAACTTTGGGTCAAATATGGACTAACCCAACTTTTGGGTTAAAAATTTCATTTAAAAATTTAACCCAACAGCTGGGTTAGTCCATATTTGACCCAAAGTTGGGTTGAAACAACCCAGCATTTTTTAGAGTGTACAATTCACCCCATACTAGTCCAGGTTGTAACATTCTCTGGGGTGAGATGTAACATTATGCAACAAGGATTACGACAAAAAAAAAAAAAAGGATTTTGAAAGCTTTTTAATTCATCACTGACTTTTCAACATAATTGGTGTTTGTGTTACATCAGCATCATCATAATAAAACTGAGTAACATGCACATGTGTGAGTTTAAGCATGTTTGTTTATGTCAGACATAGTAATTAGGCATAATAAAATTGAACTTGAACATTTGAACATTTAGAGACCTTCGGTTTGTCTTACTCTTCCAAGACCTAGGCATACTGAAGTTCAAAGAAAACATATAAATAAAACAAAAAATTTGCTTGGAGTAACTTATAACATGCTTCATTGATGTTACAACCAACCCTGAGTCTTGGTGTTATAACTAAAGGCCGCTTCACACTGAGCGCAATGCGAAAAAGCGAGGCGAATCACGGACGAACTGTGCTTTTACACCGAACGCGAAACGATTGATTGCCTTCTGCTAATTCACACCTGCACACTAGGTAGCGCCGACCAGAAATGCATTTTTCCTCGGATATGTATCTCGTATTAAGATTCCCTGCTCAATATACAGCATTAAATTAAGATAAATAAAAAATTTGGTTCTACACCAGAAACACAAACTATCTATAATGCTCACAAGAATACATCTTAAAATATAAATAAAGATACAATTAACATCAAGCTACATTTGAAAATGTATACGATTATTTATGTTTTTGCTTAAAACCCACTTTAAACCATCATCGAATGCTTGTAATAACTTCTGATTGAGTGGATTTTTATTCTATAATAGGCAGACATGCACTCGTTGTATGTTTTATAATGAATTGAACACAACACCTGCTTCTCATTTGTCATAAATATCATTATTGTTATAAAAATATCATGAGCTGCATAAAACACTGTGACGAGGGGGGCGGGGCCGAGAGCCGTGGGAACGGAGCGAGGCCGGTGGAGTAAATGCTAATGCGCGACACCTGCGCCACTCACCGGTCTCGAGTCCCACAGAGGAGCTCCGGAAGGATAAAAGGAGGAGTGACGGCAGTGTTGGAGGAGAGAGGACCAGGCCTGGATTTTCTCTCCTTTCACTGTCGTCACTCCTCCTTTTATACTTCCGGAGCTCCTCCGTGGGACTCGAGACCGGTGAGTGGTGCAGGTGTCGCTCATTATCAATTACTCCACCGGCCTCGCTCCATTCCCACGGCTCTCGGCCCCGCCCCCACTCGTCACAAACACATACAGAAAATATATTGTCATAATCATATGTCTATTTGCTTTCGTATTTCATGTATAGAAAAAATGTTTCTCTCATTCTTTTTTCATACATAATGGCAGGAGATATTATCCCATTATTGACAGATTTAGAGTGACTCTCTGACTCTCTGCAAGTGAAAGAAAATGTCAGTGGAAAATTAACAGAAATTATATTCTGTATAAAGAACATGTGAGAATACATTCTCAGATACAAATGATAACAAGAGCTCAGCATCCACTCTCTTCTCTCTTCCTGGATGCTCTTGTTTGGTGTTCAGCTGCTCCGGGCACGAGGGAAAAAAATCGAGCAATATCTATCTATCTATAGAGGGATATATTGTTTAGATTCAAAAGTGTCATCGCGCCAAACATTTGCGCCAAATTTTCACATTCAGTGTGAAAAGGCCTTAACTCTGCTTTTCATATAAGGTGTCACATTAGGCTCACTGTACCTGAGTTGGGCTGTCCGTGCTTCCCTGGCCTGGCTGATTCCCAGCCATCTACTGACTTCACTTCCAAAAGGTAGGATCCCTTGGTCTCTCGATCAAACACAGCCTCTGTGTAGATGGTTCCCAGCTCAGGATCAATGCGGAAGTACTGATAGTCTCCACTACGGTCATTCAGTAGAGAGTATGAGATCTGAGACACAATAAAAAAAGAAATTGGCAAAAAGAAATGACATACAGAGGAGAAATAGTGCCAAACCTGTCACAGAACATTTAACAGGGTTGTAGGAAAACGCATTAACAATTAATACTGGTCTTCCTGTGTGTATATGTGTGCTTAAGACTGTTCCACCTCATCTAACCACATGTAATTAAACAATCCAGCCTTCTCTTCATAATTTATTTACCCAGCTCTCTGACCTGAAGCTGAGACCTCCTGTTGCGTGTTCTACCGGTAATGCCTGTAACGCACATTGGCAATTTCCCAGCAGGTAAAGCAGAAATCAAGGCCATTCAAGTTAAGAATAATGAAGCTAATCTAGATAGCCAGAACTGTTGAATTGATGAAGAGGTGCCAACTGCTGTTTCAACAAGCCCCAAACAACAATTATCAGACAAGCTGCTCTGAACGGCCACACTAAACCAGCATTGTGTGAGTATTAAATGATGCCCTGCTGGCCGCATTAGAGCCGAGAACACAAGTAAGAGGCTGAATTAAATGTAAACGGCTAAATAAAATGATTGCAGGGGTCAGGTTAATAAAACACACAGCAAACCCCATCTGGCACAAAAGGGGCTGTGTGTAAGGGGGGTATTGTAAGAGAAAAAATTATATTAGCCTTCACACCCACAAATGATACTCATTATTGTTCCATTGCATGGAATTTGTAATTCAGAGGACTGTTGAAAGGCCCCTCAACAGATAGAGTTGAGCACAGAGACAGGAATATTTAATCACAACCTTCGAAACCAGGGTCCACAGCATGGCTCAACAATAATGATTTCACAAACATGTTCACTATCAGCTAATAGAACGACAGAAACATACTCAAAAGTTTGGAGTCTGCAATTGTTTTGTTGTTGTTGTTTTGTTTTATTCATTTATTTATTTTTATACATTTATGTAGCAAGGACACAGCATTGATCAAGTGACCTTTATAATGCTGTTCTTTTGAACTTTCTATTCATTAAAGTAACTTAGAAAATGTATCAGTTTCCACAAAAATATTACGTAGCCAAACTGCTAACTGTAAACTGTTTAACATTGATAGTAATAATAAATATTCCTTGAGCACCAAATCAGCATATTAGAAAGATTTCTGAACAATCATGCGACAAACTGAAATAATGGCAGCTGAAAATTCAGCTTTGTCATCACAGAAAGTCTATTTAAAATATATTAAACTAACAGTTACTTTACATGTTAATTTATGATCAAATAAATGCAGTCTTGTTAAGCATAAGAGACTTATTCAAAACCATTTAGAAAAAAAAAACCTTTTGAACAGTGGAATGATATGATAGCATATGACAGACTGCATATCATTCTTGAAATAATTCATTAAAAATATAAGTGATATTTCTCTGAATGTGTGCAGTATATATTACATATGTATGTACAAAACAACGAAATCTTAGAGCTATAGACATGTTTGCCTTCCCACTGAAATATAACACAAATAATGCCGAAAAAAAGTAGCCAGGGTTTTATCAAAATAAATAAGTGCGTTTTGGAGGTCATAGTGAGAAACAGAATAAAGATCATTCTACTCATCCTCATTTAAAGCGTGGCTGTATCACAGATGTTCTTTGAATTTTACAGATCTTATTGCTTAACATAGTGTACTGTATGAGTACAGTATTTACAGACAGAGGTCGACTGAGTGAATAGCTAGTTCAACTGAAAAACACTATTTCATACCTTCCCATTCAGTCCCAGGTCAAGATCATTGGCTGACACTTGTAGAACCAGAGTTCCAATTTCTGCCCCTTCGGTCACAGATGCCTCGTATATGGAGGAGGTGAAGAATGGAACGTTGTCATTGACATCTGTCAACAGCAGACAGTCACAAATATTTTCATTAGTTTTCTTTGTTTGTTGCATAAGGAATATATATATCGGGCTCGCTGCCATTCAGAGAAAATGAATAATGTGGCCTTGGTGCACAGAACATATATACTTACAGTTTTAACAAGGCATTATTGATGTGAATTAATATTTGTGCCTTGTTTCCAGCCTTAAAGCATCAGTTTGACCTATTTTTGTGGAGTTTCAGCCACCTGACCATGAAGACGCATAAATATCTTTGGTAGCTTGAGGGAAGTTAAAACTCTGGCTTTCCATCAGAAACAAATCTGACTTATCTTAACTCTGACATTATGTCTTATCTCAGCCTTATTACATTAGTGGATTCTGTGTGTTCAAGAGGAAATGAATACCAAAATGTGCTGCTCTCAGTCCTAGAAGGGACATGAGGACATTGGAATTTAGGGTAAGATCTTTAATGGGTTCAATGATTCCAGACACTAATCACCATCTGATGTACTTTGAGGTTTTAATTTTCTATCAGCCAAAGCCGTAAACCATGAATTAAAGAGGAAGGCCAAATCCATTATGACCTCCTCCCTCTAGCACTCCCTCATTTCACTCTGCCTCTCTCTCTCTCTCTCTCTCTCTCTTGAACATGGCACTGGCTGTACTCTTAAATGGAGAAAGAAGCAAGGTGTAAATAAGTCAAAAGCAACAGAACAGATTCATTATTTGTCTGTGGATTACGCTGAACGATAGAGTGTTTCCCATGAAGATGTTACCCTTCAGTTCACAAAACCGATCCTGATCAGGTGCCAATGTCCTCCTACAACTCCAGATGAATTAACATACATCTTTTAAGTACTGTAACTGTAGCTGGATCAGTATTATGGAGCAGTCATAACTGGGGGAGAGCAAGGGATTCATCCATGAAGAGAGAGCCAGATTAACACTGCAGGGCAAACTCTGTAAATTACAGGGGAAGTACATAGACTTCCTGCGGTGGAAGAGATGAACACAGAGGAATGCTTAAGTAGAGGCGAACAGACAGGGTGGGATGAAATAAAAGCTATTAAAGAGTCGTTGCTATAGGACGCATTCTGCAATAATCAGAGTTTAAGCGTGAATGGATTATAAAAATAAATTAACAAGTGTAAGGACAAGGAACTGGAATTCAAACAAGAAACTGATTAAAAGCTGTCATTTTAAATGTGATTAAAGTGTAGATAGTCTTGTAAATTGCTTTAATAATAAATATGAAAGTGCCTGCTAAAACTATAAATGTCAATCCAAATTAAAATAGTCTAGATGTAATATTTACATGCACACTAAGTTCCACAATTTGGTGAAAATATCCATTTGCACATGCAAAGAGCTGCTTTTCAAGTTAAAGCTACACTTTGCATCTCATTATAATCCAAATTTTGTATGTATATACATTCAGTTACATTAAAGCCATGTTGAGATGTTTCAGGCCTGTAATATCTTCCTGTAATATCTACCTCATGTCCTTTAAATTATTCCAACTTAGTTTCCAACTACATGCAAAGTGTTGTCCGTCATTGTACTGCCTGTACATACAAGGTACTTTTAAATCTGGGTTCATACAAGGTTTACATGGAAGTAACTCGGTTTATATAAGATCTGCACCAATTCTTTTCAATTGGACTGAGCTAAATTAAAAAGTTTACATGAAGGTTTGTCATTCTGTTTGAGCTACAGGATCAGTTGGATTATTAGGCTGCATAAGAGACCACACAGATAGGAATACACAGTCAATAATAAATGTAACATTTTTCTCATGACAACCTCTATACCTGTTTTTGCTGTGCCAGGCCACGTAGATGTCCTTTACCTGTGATGTTTATGTGAACAGTAGTGAAGGCCGCCAGGGGCACAGGAGCCACGTTCTGAGCTCGAACCCTAAGCATGAAGTTGCGGGTGGTCTCATAGTCCAAGGGCTCTGTGACAAGTATAGAGGCAGAGCCATCTTCACGATTCGGGGTTAGGTAGAAACGAACAGGCATGTTGCTTTCTGGCACCAATCCATCCTCCAAGTTATAAGTCACCCTCGGGTCACCCAGCGGAGAAGTGGCCTTGATAGTCTGCCAGGAGGAAATTGTTTAATATTCATATATACACTACCATTCAAAAGTTTGGGGTCAGTATGATTTTTATTTTATTGAAAGAAATTAATACTTTTATACAGCACGGAATTGACCAGAAGTGATCAGTTTCCCAATGGAAATGTTTTGTTGAACACCAAATCGGCATTTTAAAATTATATTACTATTAATGACTTAACTATAGTGCAATATTACTGGTTTTACTGTATTTTTGATCAAATAGATGCAGCCTTGATGAGCATGAGATTTATTTTATTTATTTTTTGAAAAATCCTGCCAACCCCAAACTCTTTCATACTGTATATAATATTCACATAGTTAAAGTACTATATAATATATTACTAAAATAATAATCACTATTTTATATTAATGATTCATCAATTAAATAATCAATTATTTTAAAAAATGAAAAGCAATGTTATAAGCCAGACACATCTGAACACTGCAGGTTGATCAGGTTCAACATCAAAGACTTCTCTTTCTGTCCTAGGCGAATTTAATCTCTGTCTTTAAATATAACAGCTGTGAATCTCTGTTAATGGGGCAGCTGTAAGGAGATCACCGCAACAGATCAATTAAATAAGCTCAATTACTTCTATACCAACAAGAACACAAACAACGTTTAACACAAGATCAATTAGAAGGAGAAGCGCAAGCACTGTTTCTGAGCAGTTCTCTATTTTTGTCTTTATTTATTTTCCTTTTTTGCCCTTTGTTCCTCCTCGCCCTGTTTATTTATGCTGCTCTTCATGAAATGCTCATCTACATTAATAATGGTCTTAATGGCAATAAATGTATTCCAGGAAATTCAGCAAATTAATGCTTTCAGTGCATTTGTAACCAAATGAAAATGGGGAAAAAAAGGAAATGTCCATAAATTATCCAGTGACTCTGCGACTGGCTGACTTCCTAAACAGTGAATGTAATGAAACAACATCCTTAAAATGTGAAGCAAAGGATCAGATGATTCATGGCAGGGCTACAGAAACGCAGCTTGAAGTGGGGACTGGAATCTTACAGCATCTTACCATTAGTTTAAATGGACTGTGTATGTGTGTGCCTTTGTGTACTTGTGGATTTGTGACAGGCTGTGTGAAGACTATCTGTGGTCGAGCAGAAAGCATAGCCTGTCAGTTGTAACCGCCAGTACATGACAGTAAAGTCGACAGTGTCTGGGAACTCAAGCCCCTCAAGGAATACCCAGAACCTTATTGTGGGATTAAAACTTATCCACATCCATCATAGCATTCCTTCAATGCACACATGAAAGACATGGTCATTAATGGAGTGCCTCACAGGTGTGCTTCAAAGGCCAAAGTAATAAATCACTTAGCAGAAGCTGTATGTTTGTTTTGCCTTTTGGTTTATGGTCCTTCATTCACAGAATATTTAGCACGAATGAAATCGACATCTTTATGTAATGAATATCTGTGGGCCACTGACAGTCACTGTTTGTTATACTGTATGACTCTGATCTTGTCATTAAGTGCAGTTAAAAGCAGGCATAAATCTACATAATTTACATATTTGCAGAGATCTAGTAGTTTATAAGTGTTTAGCGTCAAATTAAGTGCATACCACAACTGGAGTGTCTCTGACAGTGTTTTCAGGTATGACGACCTCATATTTGTCCTTCTCCCACTGTGGAGGCTGGTTCTTCACATTGGTGATGGTGACTGCCAGCTCGACTGAACTGCTCCGATTCCCTCCATCTGTAGCGATGATCTGCCTGCTGATGTAGGTCCTCTGGGAACAATCAAACACAATTATTGAGGCGTCAAAAACAATTTAAGGCTGAAAATTGGAAAATGTACTAAGACCAAGGTTTTCATACTGGAGCTCAGGGTGAAATATTTGAATATAAAAAAACAAAGAAAGAAAAGCTTTTACAAAATATTTGAGAAATGTCAAATTTGGCATGTTAGCTCAAGTTGATAAATATTTTTTAACAAAATTGACACATTTAAAGAATTTTATAATATTAATGTTTCAAAAAGTGTAGAGAGCAGTTAATTTATTCTAATTTTTAACAGAATACTAATAAATCTGCATACAAAATGTGCACACACACAATATCGTAAATAACTGTTCTATATTACATCTCTCTTTAAAGGAGACCTATTATGCCCCTTTTTACATTATGTAATATAAGTCTCAGGTGTCCCCAGAATGTGTGTTAAGTTTCAGCTCAAAATACCCCACAGATCATTTATTATATCATTTTGAAAATGCCTAATTTGAGTGGCAGCAGAAACGCAATGTTTTTGTGCATGTCTCTTCAAAGGGATGGTTGACTGTTTTTTTTCTAGGCTTGATTGTGTTTATGGGGTGCAGTCTAACATGTGTTAATGCTTCGTTTAAAAAAAACATTATTTTTCACATAATTTACCTTTATTCCACACAGCTCTGTCCCTTCTCTGATAAACGCGCTGATCATTTCCCGCTTTTATGAAGTAATAGGTCTGTTTGGTTTTGATTATCATATCTATCGCACTGAAATCATGCGTTTTAAACCACATTAGTTTAAACTTCTGATATAAGCTTTTCTGAAGGTCACACATCCAAAGCACACACACAGAAAGCACGGCATGGGAGTACTAAACTAAGTTCTCTTTCATGTCCTATTGCGCTTAAACTGTTAAATACACAAGTTTATGTTAAAAACGCACATGAGTTACAAAAACAGTCGGTTATGTCTGTGAAGGTACACAGCTGAGAAAGAAATTGCATGTTTATATTAGATCTGTGTGGCAGCAGCGTAATATACAGTAAATAAATCAATAAATCCACTGCTCTGTTGTCTCCTCTGAGGCTGGGACTCTAAATAGTGCTCTGTGCTCGTCTGTGCAGCCAAAGACAGAACAGTTAGCATGCTTTGCTCAAACTTTCGCCATGGGGTTAGAGCTGGTACACCATTGTCGCTAGCGAAAACACAATGTCGGTGCCGTGGGTGGAAACTTGCAGATTAAGGGGTGGTATTTACGTTACGGGGGGAGTGAAATCTGAGCGGCTCATTTTTTCAAAAGCTTGCAGAGAAAGGCTTACCAAAAGAACATTTACTGGGTTGTTCTTTTTCAAGTTTTCTGGGTTGGCAAATGCACCAGGGGACCCGATTATAGCACATAAATATGGAAAAAGTCAGATTTTCATGTTACAGTATGTCACCTTTAAAATAGCACACTTACTTTTTTTTACAGTATTAAAGTGAAAATATGCAGCTGTCTCAGTTTTTTTTTTTAAGACGCTGGTTCTCCACAAAGAATATAATCATATTTGGGGGTTCTTGGCATCAAAAAATATAAAATCCCAGCATTACAACACCAAGGATGACCTTTTAAATGGATCTGTGTCAAGTGTATCAACAAGACATCACTGTATTCATTGTCATCTCACTGCAGATGCCTGTGCTTATCAGCAAAATCACTGATGCTGTCTGCGTTCATGGCATTCTGCTTCGTATAGCAGGCTGTCTGCATGTCGAATGATGCGAAATGACAGCTAAACAATTTTCACCCACCCTCTGTAATCGCACAAAGAACATACTGTATACAAACGCTCAAGCCTCACCGTATACACCAGCCGACACAAGACCTTGGTAGTCATAGCAACAGTTTTACAAAGGTCTCTTGTCAAAGGTGGTCCGATATCAGTGGCTTTCAAACCTAAACACCTACTCACACACACAAACACCCCATCAATAATCACTATTAATGCTTAAACAAGTCTTTTGTACTTCTCTGTGAGGTTATTTCTGTCGTCAACTTTACAAAAACAAACAGAATCCGTAAAAGACCTTGTTACCACCCAATCAATCATCTGAGCATGAGTGCTGTGAGAAACTGTTGTGGACCTGCTAAATCATTCACACCGCTGCATCTTAAAACTTAAAACTCACACAAACCATACAATATTCATGCTGCCAGTGTAATTTTGGATCTGTTTAATGATGAATCATTCGGTTCAAACTATTCTTGAGCTTTTTAATATGCAACTTCTTGACTGCATGCAGCACCCACGCATACAGGTAAACTCAGTATTTCAACTATCAGGACTTCACTTGGTTGTTTGGAGCAGGACTGACCTGCGAGATTGGCTGGTTTACGTAGATCCAGCCTGTGAGTGGATTGACTCGCAGATACTCCGGCTGCTCCTCGGTCATGGAGTAAGTGATGGCCGCGTTAGTGCTGTAATCATCATCACGTGCAGCCACTCGCAGAAAACTGGTCCCGGTCATGGTGTCTTCGCGTAAGAAGTCTGTTAGAGGGAAGGCTCTGATTATTTATCATGCACTGGAAACACTGTCCTGCTGGTGCATAATTAGACGAAAACCTTTGATAACTATCATATCCTCTGATCCTATCTGTGAAATTGCAAGTGCAAGATACTTTGATAAATCTTAACCAAAATAAATTAATTTCTAAATCAGTTTGATATATAGTTCTGTGATGTAAAGTTAGGCATGTGTGAGGAAAATTACGTTCTCCGTTAACCAGCTTTATCAGAAAGATCATGCTGTTTGACCAGTTGACAGAAGTTTGCAGTGATGGCTAAGTTGGTTCACCAATTAAAAACAGACTAAATCAACACAAACCAATATAACATTGTGTCCCATCCTGATTTGATACAGTAAAATGACAATACCCTTTATGTTAATCAGAGTTTTATTCTAACCAGTCAGAACAGCAATGAGTGGCTTTTGTTTATTGACAGTGTCACACCAAGCCCCACTCACATTGCAATCTCACTAGGCTGAATTAGCACTGTTCATACACATTGCACAACAAAGAATACACATACTTGTGAAAGTTTAGAATTAATCACCGGCTGTTTGACCAGTTGACAGAAGTTTGCAGTGATGGCTAAGTTGGTTCACCAATTAAAAACAGACTAAATCAACACAAACCAATATAACATTGTGTCCCATCCTGATTTGATACAGTAAAATGACAATACCCTTTATGTTAATCAGAGTTTTATTCTAACCAGTCAGAACAGCAATGAGTGGCTTTTGTTTATTGACAGTGTCACACCAAGTAGCCCCACTCACATTGCAATCTCACTAGGCTGAATTAGCACTGTTCATACACATTGCACAACAAAGAATACACATACTTGTGAACGTTTAGAATTAATCACCGGCTGCTTTGACTAGTTTTACAAGTTTTTAAATATTTATTTATTCTTTTTTTTTCTGTAAGACAGGTCTAACATTTTCAAGTTACATAAAAGACAGATTACCCCTTGGCTAACTGCTAGTTTCTGACCAGCTGATAATCAGAAAACTCTGTCATCATTCACTCACCCTCATATCGTTCCAAACCCATAAGAATTTGGTTAAACCTGAGAGGTTTCTTCCCATCCACTGAAAGTCCAGGTAAGCAAAACTTAAAAGATTCAAAGAGATTATAAAGGTGTTCTAAAATGAATCCATATGAATCGGGTCTTGGGAAGAGATACGGTCACTTTATACATTGAACAGATTTAGTTTAGACGATGCAGTGTTGGGAAGTTTACTTCGCAAATGTAATAGGTTGCAGATTAAAAGTTACCCTATTTAAAATGTAAGTAGTGTAACTATTTCAGTTACCTTATTAAAGTAATGTAACTGATTACGTTTGATTACTTTTTGATCACTCTTCTAAATTAAACCAGACAGGGTTAACATTACAGTAGTACTCAACACTGATAACTGTCAGACTTTCAAAATCCTTCTTCACTAGAATTAAGATTGTAATAATTTAATTTTAAAGCACAGCCACCACAAAATCAGACGTTAGCCCCTCTTTTTACTTTTTAGATTGTTCTGTGGTTAAATACAGATTTAAAATCATAAGATATAGTTTAATAGCTATGATGCTGTTTATTGGAAATCAAATCTTTGCATAGCTATGACACTGGCATCTAACAATGCTATGGAAAAAAAAATAAAGCACATACATAAACCCAAATAAAACAGTTATTGAATAAGCATGTGTCATATTCTGTGTCCTAAACTCCTGAAACATTGATGTCTCATAATTTTGAAGCAGTCAATGCAATTTGGGAAAGAAATCAATCAAATCTGTATATGTGTGTGAAAATATTCAGAAGTAACCCCCTTTGTGATCTTTAACACAAAGTAAGTAACTGTAATTTAATTAATTACACTTTTTTTCTTAGTAACTGTAACTGATTACAGTTGCACTTATTTTGTAATTACATTATATCATTCTGCTACATGTAACTATTTACTCCCCAACTCTGGCTCTATGTGTGTGTGTTTATATGCAAATACAATTCTAAATTAAATCTGTTCATCACATTAAGTGATCATATCTTTTCACAAGATTTGGATGAATCCATTTGATTCATATGGATTCAATTTATGATGCCTTTATAACTTTTTTGGATCTTTTAAGTTTATTGGCTGTGTTTATGCAACTAGGTCCAGCCACTGTATGATAAAGCACTCAAGCACCATATGGAAAATCATAAAAAGCATATATTCTGCATAAGCTTCATTGATGTCATGAAAATGTAAGACATGTGTTTTAGTCTTACATTCTTCAGCTTCTGATTGGTTGTGTTTTATGATTGACTGTCGCATCTCGCCTCATTTCCGTGTGTGATGTGGACAAATTGGCTGGTGCTGAAATCTTTTTGCACAGCACCTGGTTAGGAAACTATGTAAAGCAGCTTGGAACAGCATGGATATTTAACTATACTTAGTGCCTATGCTTATTTGCAATGTACAACCAAACAGGTATGAAACATGAAAGATGTTAAAAAGGTGGTCATTGCTCACATTCGTAGCGAAAGTTCTCAAATTTGGGGCTGTTGTCATTCTCGTCGAGGATAAGAATGTTGAGCTGGCAGATGCCTATGAGGGGGTCCGCCGCTTGGTCCGTGGCCGTCACTGTTACTGCATACTCTCTCTGCCTCTCCCGATCAAACGTCATAGCAGTTACAATAACACCTGAAAAATTACCTCTGTTACCACTGAGCTTCTTTTGAAACCAAGCAAACAACATTATTTGGATGCACAGCAGATTTGTGCAAAATATTCCTTTTTGTTATTTTTGTGCTTGAGTTCAGAAAGTCAAATCTCTCTACAGCTCCCCATTTGCATTTAAGAAGTCATCGCAAATGTGCCTCACATTTCTCCCACTGCAATCCATTCCTATTTTCTCTCTTTATTCTCCAGTATAAAAGACACACTGATTGATGTCCAATGAACAGTTACATTTCATAAAGCATTCCATTTCTTTAAAAAGGGGTCTCGAGACGACACATTTAAATGCTGTCTTTTCTCTTCCTTTGAGAGTTGGCACGTTTTGAAAGGCTATGATTAAAGTGAATTAAACTCAAGTTTGAATTCATGAAAATACTTCAAGGCTTAAATTTCTTTGCAAGAGAGAAAGAGAGGGAGAGAGAGAAAGGGAGATAGTCAACAGTGAACGCATGACATTATAAGAGAGTGCTTAATGAGACATTAAAGAGGTTGTGTTCTGTTTCAAACCCTGTGACTATTTCAACGACATCTGATTATTTTGAAAGGAATGACTCTACTTTTATGCTCGCAGTACTGTAATTGAGTATACATTGAACCAGGAATAAGCTCACTGAATAAGTGCGCTTGAATCATTACCTGTTTCTGGATCAATGCTGAAGGCAGGAACCGTGCTGTCTTTATGCATAAAACCATATGTGACTTTTCCATTGGCTCCTTCATCAGCATCATCTGCATGGACCTGCAGCACAAATGTTCCCACTGGCTTATTTTCCAGAACTGATGCCTTCTCTTTATACTCGGCACACTGTGAGAGGGAAAACAGAGAAAGAAAAGGAAGATGTACAGTAAGTAAACCCAATTTTAATAAGGCTATTTACCCTTGTATTAAGATCTGTCTTGGGTGATCAGATCACAAGTGGTCAGCTGAGACAATTATTGTTTACACCTGGTAATATTGGTCTCCAGTGCAACTTCACAAAACTGAATAAAAGGAAAATGGGGAAAATGTTTTATATTTTCAATTCAATGGTAAATTACTTTTAAAGCAGCACATACTGTAGCAAAAAAACTAAACAAAAAAACAAACAAACAACAGTATGCTTATTGCAAATACGGTCACCCTGGAGCAACGGGAGAGCTACAGTGTCTTCTGATCTGCTTTCACCATTGAGCCTTATGAATCATTCCTTCCAGAGTTTGAACCTTTGAAACCTTTGGCTTACTAACCCAGATCTTTGAGATGCAAAAAGAAATGATAAAAATAGTGATTACTAAGCCTTGACACTACAATGCACTGAACAATTTTAATCATCAGTATATGGACAAAATGCTCATGGTCAAATTAACGAACATAACTTCACTGATTAGACTACTCATGTAAGTTATAAGTGCTCTAATAACAAAAAAAGGCCAATGAGCTGGTACTGTAAGGGCAGTGAATGTGGATCATTACTGAAATCAAGTAATTTATTGCAATTGAAAGAAAGAAAGAAAGAAAGAAAGAAAGAAAGAAAGAAAGAAAGAAAGAAAGAAAGAAAGAAAGAGAGATGAATAAGAAAAGCAGTAAGCATTACGGAGTGGACGCACATTGACGGTACGAAGAATGGGAGAGGAGGCGTATTAATGCTTATCTCTTTGGTACTGTTGAGATTCATCTCTGTATTATAATCGAAGCGCCCTTGAATCAATTCTGTCCCACTGAATCTGTGGAGACGTCTGGAATAAGCCTGGATAATTCAGCCATGCTCCACCACCCACACACCTTCTTCATCCTCGCACGCGCGTGTATGAGTGTGCGTAATCACAAAAATAAAGAAAGCGCTGTCTTCCCTTCATCATTAGATAGCTGAGGTTAGATGAGACTCTGGGAGAACAAATACAGTATATAAATCCCTTTAAAACACATGGTGACAATTCCCAAATCAGTCCACCAACTTCTCCTTTGATGGCCACTTCTGACACCTAATTAATAACAAGGGACCCAGTCCTCCCTGTGATGGTCTCTTTCATCCTTCAGCTAGCTAAAACCTGGCCACTAACTCTGTGTTGTTCAATCAGTCAGGTGAGCGTGAAATCCCATAAGGTCAGAAATGCAAACATCAAGCGTTGTACCCCTTGTGAGTCCATCTCACAAACCTCCAGAAACCTGGCAGTAAAACACACATGCTGTGGGCCTACAAGTAAGAGAAGTTCTCAGCAGAGATCCATGACCACTGATGTTCACACATCCACGGGAACAGTTTGGTATTCCAGAACACAGATATGACAAGGGAATGGGACGCGGTTCAGGTGGGAGTTTTATTAAAACAACAACAAAGAACTTTACTTCTTAGTTACAACCCCTTTTTCTCACTTAAAAATGATGGATAAATGTATTCTAGGAAGCTAGAATGAAAAGGATAAATAGAAAGCGTGCAAAGAATAGAATGAGTGCAAAAACGGAATGGGGTTCAAATATCTAGCTGAGCAGTGGCATAAATGCTTTATTTATTTCATTTTGAGAAGTCTGGCTCTGAGGTCTTTCAGCGGAGCAAGAACTGCCACTTTGGCTTCCCCGTGCTGGCTCAAAAACTAAAGAGATGTCTTGCGTCTCAGTGGATGCTAATTTACTTCACACCCTGCCAAGAGAAACTCAAACAAAATACTCCACAGACCTGAAGAGAAGTTTTTAAGTACTAAACGTCGGCCCACGGCCAAGCATCTCCTCACCTCACGGCGCAGCCTGGGGAGATTAAGACCCTCTAAATATCTTCAGTGTTGCACTCAACCCATATTTACTGGAGACATCAGGAAGCAAGCAGGCCCATAATGATTCAGCACATATTTCAAACACTTAATTAAAAGTCTACAGCTGATCAAGCAGCAGCCCAGGTTGCTTTGCTAATAATATCTCATGAGAAAAAAAAAGGTGGGAGTGGATAAATTGGAGAGAAAACTAAAGAGGCAAAAGAGAGAGAGAATATGTGAGAGAAAGAGGGAAGACAAATGCTCTATTCCAAAACCTTCAGACGAAGAGAAACAGCATTCGAAAGCAGAATAGGTGGGCCCTGATGCAAAGGTTGTTTCAAAGGAAGGCAATTATTTTGCCTCCTAAGGCACATAATTTTGGACAAAATCTAGGAATATGTATAGGCCAAAAATGAAATTATAATATATGAATATGTATTCATAAAACCTGAGTATGTAGTTTATTCTGAATAAAAGCAAACAAACAAAAAATATTCAGGAATTAGAAATATATATTCAGAGTTTACTTGTATATATTCAGCATTTAAAAATGAAAATGGTCACACTTTATTTTAAGGTCCAATTCTCGCTATTAATAAACCATTAACTACAGCTTTTGCCTTAATAAACATATTTGTTTACAAGTTGTTAAGTTTAGGTATTGGGTCGGATTAGGGATGTAGAATATGATCATGCCGAATATGTGCTTTATAAGCACTAATAAACAGCCAATATGTTAATAATAGGCATGCTAATAAGCAACTAGTTAATAGTGAGAATTGGTCCTTATACTTAAGTGCTATTATGAAAATCAGAATATAAATACCTTATTTTCCAAAAAAAAATAATAATAATTCACCTGACACTTTGGATGTGTCAGTCTGTGCAAGTAAGATCCTTTATGTGGCTTATCGCTGTTAATTACTCTTTTAACATCAATCAAGTCCCGCACTTTATATTCTTATTCCTCCATGGTCTTTTCAAAACTTAAACTACTGAAACGTAAATGCTTTGCTTCTGATGGACAAACACAACTTTCTAAAACAAAGAAGGTAGACCTTTCAGGAAACGTACAAATAAAAAACATTTTAAATGTTTAATTCCTATTTGTAGCATTGGGATCGCTAGCCGAGGGCATATTGAACTCATTTTTGTGAAAACCTCGAATTTGACCATAATTGACATTTTTCACTTGTTTTGCCTGTAGCTCGCAATTAGCCCGTGTCCCTTCTAAATCATTTTGCCAGCACGGGTCACATTATATATAACCTTTTAAAAATAGCAGTTGTTTTGGAACAGAGCTAATGTGATGTGAGAGTTAATGGTGAAGAAAATAGATAATTACACTGCGAATAAACAGACATGCATAGAGATAGTATATAGATAGATACAGACTGATTTTTTATACACAGTACCTTTTCAAACACAGGTTTGTTGTTGTTCACATCGTCAACTCCTACAATGACCTGGGCAATGGCGGAGAGTGACTGCGGCCCACCGGAGGCGTTATCATCTGTTGCCGTAACGTTCAGGACGTACTTTACTCCCTGAAGTCTAGGAGACGGGCTGGAGCGGAGACGGATCAATCCTGTGTGGGGTGACAGGCAAACATTTATAGCAACATTTAATTGGCCATTACCCTCGTATAAATCCCACTCAAACTCCATTTAACCTCAGCGCCTTCTTTGAATTAGCAACTGATTCCTCATTAGTTCAACACAGTTTTAACGCAATCACATCTAAATAGATCAAATGTGCTTATCAGGGATCTGCGTTCTTTCAGTACACTGCATTTGACAAACAGACTCTTACATTATTTCATACATGAAAGTTTGTAAATGACATAGGACTTGATGAATACATATGGAGCCATGAAGACTGATCTCTCAGCCCTCATTCATAATGCAGAGAGGCTGTTTCTGACCTTCAAGGCAATGATGAGTATATTTACCATTCCTGAGGCTTGTACTATGCAGAATCCTGTATATATTGTGTGTTTTTATGGATTAATGTATGTGTTGTTGCAAATGTGCCAGGGATATCATTATGCTTTATACATTGTGTCTTATCTGCGGAGACAGCCCGAGTCAGCTCCTACGTGACCCTCCGTGGTACACCATGCAGCGCCATCTCTTTCAGGAGAGCGCATTAGACTCTGCTGCATTCAGCTCTGCATTCATAATCTGAAGAGCTAGATGACTGCTATCTCCAGCTAGCAGCAAAGGGACATTAAAGAAACCAGCACATCCACTGACACAGACTTGGCAGGAGGGAAATCACATGTACCCTAGTTTCTTAAATTTATACTAATGCATAACACTAGTCCTTTTGTGGCACAACTCAGGGGAAAAAGAACATGTAATCAATTCTAATTCAATCTGAGCACCCCTAGCCGCACTAGCTCCCTATCCAAATGTTAGTGGGGGCTGAAACGAGTGTGTGTGTGTTTGGATTTTGTGCCTTGAGGAGGCATGTCACAGGTTCTAGCTCTATTCTCTCGACAGTTGTATCAACTGCAAGAGCCACAGGGTAATCTGTTGAGTAACGTTTTTTCAAAACCACCATTTCAAACCACTGCTACGGTATGCATCACCGCCAATGATTTTAAACAGAGATACACACAGAATTAAATAAAGAGCTTGAGCCGGGATTATAAATATTGACAAACTGGCAGCTCAGGAAGCTGAAATTTCAGTAATGATCCGCGTGTGATTTATCTGTCCTTGAGCCGGAAGTGTCTATTACAATTAGTATGTAGTACACTGGTGGAGTCTAGAACAGGACACAGATGGAAGAGGCAGCCAGGACATATCAGTGCACATCAGAGATAGAGAAGATGTTTATTTAGGGCTCTGACAAGCAAATGTCTCTGTACATGAGGGTGTGGGGCATGCCAGTGGCCCTCTCTTTACGCCAGTTTACATCACTGTCATGCCTGCTGTGAGCTACAGCAAACCAAATACCCTAATATAAAAATAAATATGGACATACTGTATATATATATATATATATATATATATGTGTGTGTGTGTGTGTGTGTGTTTGCACTAACAAAAAACATCAACAAAACACAAAAAATAGCCCAAAATATATCAAATTATCAAATGTAATTTTTGTTTGAAGACCGTAACCGACATTAGCCAGTTTAAAATAGAATTTTATAAATACTAGAATCAACCATTGATATAGCAAAAAAATTATGCTTAAACAGTGTTAATCTCATCAACAAAATTACTGGGAGTTCATTCATCTAGGTGAATTCATTAATGCAGCCTACACATGAGATTCAAAAGTTTGGGGTCAGCAAGTTTTGTCTATCTATCTATCTATCTATCTATCTATCTATCTATCTATCTATCTATCTATCTCCCTATGAATGTATGTTTGTTCTTGATCTCACCAAGGCTGCATTTATCATTTATTTGATCAAAACTGCTGTAAGAAACAGTAATATTTTGAAATATTACTGCAACTTAAATTATGTTTTCTGTAAAACGTGACTTTTTTCGGGATTCTTCAATGAATCGAAAGTTCAAACGAATAGCACTTGACAAGTTGACAAGTCATTTGACATTGACAAGTCATTGATGTGTGCAGCACATTGATAACTTATTTTCATTAGTTATTTTGGCTATTTGGCTATTTATCTGATCAAGTTCTTCTGTGCTCTGACTAATTCACAATCTTTTGTCAGTTCGATAATCTCTGTAATAATCTCAATAATCTTTTCATGCCTTTTGCAAGACGTTGCACTATTTCATGTTTTTCATCTTCAGAAAGATTTTTCTTCCTCCCCATATTGCATGAAAACCCTTTAGCTTCAGAGAAACACATGGTGAACATTTAGAAAGTGGGTGGTCAGTTTATAACACAGTTGGTAATAACACCACATTTGTTTTTACTAGTGAAAGCTAGTGTAATGTATGTATTTTTTTTATTATTTATTTATTTGTGTATTCTCTTTTATGGATTGCTGGACATATCCAAAGCATCCTTAATTACACAATTTATCAGCTTTTGTACAATGTTAAAAAAATATATTTTCTGGCAGTCTTTTTTTTCTTTGAAATGCATTTCTTCATTGCCAGGCATTTGGATGACGGAACCTTGTTTAACATGAGGGCTTTAAGCAGGACAAAGAACAAAGGAAAATCAAAACACTACAAATAACAGAGGAAAATAAAAACGCTTGACAGGTGCTGTGTGCTGCCGATGATCTGGCTGATTACCAGCGTAAACACTATGCCGGCGTGCCGGTAAATACATCCTTCACGCACTGGATGCAGTCTTTGTATTTATGTCTTTAATACAAAAGGCCTGATCATCTTATTGACTTTGCTGTTTGAATCCTTAAAGGGGTATTAAATCAAACCGAGTGCATTCCTCTGTGAGTTACAGTAAATTAACAACGAGCACAATCGCCTAGGCCCTTATTCGCCCCAACAAAAACAACCTAATGGAGGAGAGGCTCTAATGAATGATAGAAGGAATTTCAGTTGAGACGGAGATCTGATGAGCCGTAGAAGGGGCAATAAAGGAACGCTTTGATCTTTAGAGGAGAGAAAAGGAGGAATATGCAGGGAAGGGAATCAACAGAGACACACTTCAAGGAACCGCAGTGCTTCCAATGAAGCGGTACATGTTTGAATCACCTGAATGGAGCACTAAATTGGAGCACTGTGAACGTAAGCAGCAAACATATTTTGTGAGAAGGATAAGTGAAGTCCGTATCTTACGACCGATCTTCTTCAATCAAAACGCAATCAATCAAAACATGTCTAGCTCTTTCACTGTTGAGGAGTGTGCGGCAATTAAGTCATGAGCTGTTTAGCAAATGCTGTTACTTTGAGAAGTTAAGAATAGGGATGCACCGAAATAAAAATTCTTGGCCAAAGCCGAAACCAACAAAATGAAACACTGAAGGCCGAATACAGAACACGTTTTATTTTGCATTTTTCCCCCATGTATTTTGTCAATTTTTTTCACCATTGCATAAATTAAATACCCAAATTTTGCAAGAAATTACAATATATTTTACTTAAAAATATTTACTTAACACTGAACATTTTTTAACATTCTAGCAGACATTATACCAACAAAGCACAATTTAAAATTAATAAGTTAGTAACATATATATATATATATATATATATATATATATTTGCTATTTTCGGCCGAACAATTTCGGTTGCCGAACATTCGGTGCATCCCCAGTTAAGAAATTTGTATTTGTAGTTGCCAATAAATATTATATTCACTGAGCCATTACTAAACTCCTTCAGAACTGTGAGAGATAAACGGACACTGCATTTTTATAATAGAAATGTGCCAATGCCCAGTGAAAACCTCTGAAATCATCAAGGGACACAAAGTGTCCGATCTGTACGCACACATAGTTCCTAAAGGATACAGTTATAATAAAATAAAAAGCTTACCAACTGGATCTCTCATATTTCCCATTTCCAATTTATGTTTTAGAGTTATAAAAAATAAAATAAATAAAATAAAAATCCTATGAAATGTCTTTCTTATTTTTGCAACTTAATATCTCACAACTGTGACTACTTACTAGGAACTGTGATTTCATTTCTTGCCATTGCAACTTTATTTCTTACAACTGACTTCATTTCTCACAATGTGAAATGTTTTTTTTTTCTTCTTCTTCTCTTATTTTCTTGTGTTTTTCCACCAAACAATTACCTCTTTTTTTTTTTTTATCTAAGGCAGAAACGGGATTTCATATTAACAGTTATATCCTTGTGTGGGTGTTTTAACTATAACTTTTAACAGTTTTGCCAAAAGAAACGCTTTACAATAATTACCTCTTTATAATTAGTAAGTCACTAATTTTGTATATGTGAAAGTACTAAATGACTTGTTTGTTCAAGTGATAACTATAAAAAATGTAAATACGATTCAAGTAAATCATACATGGCAACTTTTCAACTGATTTGAAATGTAACTGATACATTAAAGCTTTAAACTGTACTTAAATATGTACTTTTTCTTAATTTCAAAAACTTAGAAGAACTAGTGTGATCTAAAATATATTAGAGTACATTATGTACTTGACTGTTCAAACAGATGTTGCTGTTGATTTCACTCACTCTCCTGCCATTCTGGATTTTACCGTTTACCAGATGTTCACACGAAACTTTGTGTCTTCAATTAACCCTTAAGAATCCTTCAGATGAAAGTCTTCTTTTCTAGTCGGGACGCACACTCTCATCATGTGATGCGTTTTTAAATCCCATCCTAACTGCTCCCACGTAATTTCCCATCCTCTCTATAATGTTTATTCTATAAACAATACAATCTTGTGTTTACCATCAGAGCAGAGGTGCAGCAGTGACGTACTGTATGCACTGGTGTTGCGGTTTTCTCCCTAGAACACAAGTTTTAGTTTGGCCTGCATAAGGTTCATGCCTATACCACTCTCATGTCTTTTACTACTGTCCTCGCCAATTAAGGGACAAAAAAAAATACTTTAAATAAATATAAAAGACTTCTTTGGCATCTGAATTATGTCCAAGGTAAAAGATGGATGAATACTTTTGTTTGAATAGCTGCCCTGCCATGATCATCCAACCGTGAAAGTACATTAAATTATTAATTACTATTAAAAAATCATTAATAGTTAAACGACTTATGTATAACGTGATGCAATGCAATGTAAAGAGTTTGAAAGAAGCCACTGAATTAAGGCTTTCCTACTGCACTGCTCCTTAGTGAATGTTCATGAAGCCTAAAACAGCCGTCAGAGAGAGATCAAAAGAATAACACCAAATCTGAAATGGATGTCTCACCTTTCTGGCTGTCGATGACAAAGTTGCCCTCCTCATTGCCTGCTGTAATTTTGTATGCAATCCCATCTCCATCTGGGTCCTTGGCCAGCACCGTTGCAACCAGAGTGTTGGGCCCTGCATCCTCAGAGACAAAGGTTTGATACCTGTTTTTAAACAACAAACATATTTCTTTCAAGATATCTTTCATGTTAAACTCACCACTATACCATGTTGTCATTACAGCAAAACAAACACATTAAGGTCTCTATGTTAATTGAATGCAATGCATTTCCATACGAGACGAGGTTGTTGCTTACAATACTGCTTGGTTAAATAGAAGCTGCAAGTATTCATACATGTGACCATCATTATACATACAGTGTTTACCACGGATTTGTTGGCTAACAGGATGAAAAGGTGGCTACTAGTATACAGCAAAAGAAAAAAGCTGCATGTGGTATGGATAGCAAATAGAACAAAGAGGAAAATCTAAATTCAGTTTTTAGTGCCCAGTTAGATTCTGAACATTATTTAATGCCTTTAGTAGCATGTTGTTGCCATGTCTCAGTTATTGTAAAAGATGTGATATGTCTGGCACATGCTCTATGCACATGTTCGCCAATCACAACGCACTGGGACAGCTAACCAATCAGAGAACTTTTTTTTTTTTTCGTTTCATTTGTTTTTTGTTTCATCGAAACAGGAACTAAACCGAGTGTTCAAGACAGACTGGGAAGAGAGGTGCAACAATGTGAAATAAGAGAAAAATAATGCATTTTTGCAACAATCAAGCATGAAAACCTGTTCTAGTACAACCAAAAAAACAAATCAAGACTTCATAAAAGGACTTAATAGGACCCCTTTAAAGGTTTGGGGTCAGTAAGATCTAGCATTACAGTAATGAATGCAACTTTCATGCATATTGATTGAATTCTTATTTCAGTGTTGATGTTTGCTTGATAAATTCAGTTTAACAGCATTAAAGAGGGCAAATGTCATCATTAAAATGAACTGTGTATATGCATTTTAAACACATTATGTTCTTGCTCCATTCATACAAAAAGTTTGTTTTTTTTAGCGTATTTAATTCAACCGCTCAGGTAATGTTAACGGTTTTACCCATTTCAGTGGTGGCCAAAATTGTGATTTAAAATCAGTAGACAAGCTTCAGGGGGGATCATGTCTTCTTTAGGGAGTCAGTTTTGATGCTTTATTATTAATTATTATTATTATTATTATTATTATTATTATTATTATTACTCACACAATTGAAAAAAAAAAGATTTGTTGCTTAATATTTTTTTTTTGTAAGAAAGGCCAAAAGAACAGCATTTAAATGAAATATACACCTTTTGTGACTATGTTTCAACTGTCAATTCTGATCAATAAAAAGCATCCTTGTGCAACTGTTGTGCATCTGTTCACTATTGACCTCTACAATATGCTACACATTATCTGTGCATGAAAGAAAATGAATCAAATCAAGTTAAAGTGATCAGATGCAGTATGTTTGAATAGAAAATTATGTTTGAGTTGTGTCTAAGGCATCGTAATGAAGCTTGTTACAGCGAGAGCCTTTTAGATAAGAGCGACCTGAAGAGACTGACAGCTCTGACCATGTCACCACTTCAGTGACTCAAGTCTCTGGCCTCCAGCTGTAGAACAAACACACACACACACACACACACACACACACACGCACACACACAAACAGACACATGCTCATACAGGGACAATTTTCATTGTTACAGAAAACCCATTATTATTTTGTGAATATAACAAATAACGAGTGGGGGGAGTGAGTTAGACCACACCTCCAATGTTCAATAATAGATTTCCCACTGAAAAAGAGACAGTTGAACTAGTTCGCTCAAGGGGCTGTTAACAGACAAAGCCAACACATTTCATGCTAAGCCTTTCTTGCCAAAACCACGCTCACACTTCATCACATCTGAAACAATGCTGTCAATGGAACAGCACCTCGTGGCGACAAGACAAACAGTGCCTCCACATCTGCACAGCGTGCTGTCATTTGAGAAGAGAGAAAAGCGCTGACAGACTGCGAGATACTTCCATAGTCTCAGCCACCATTCATTATTATTCAGCCGCAAAGATTTCATTTAAGTCACATAGGCAGCACACTGATGGACTTTTTTGTCGTGACAGAGTGTGAGACATTTCCACTTGATCTGAGAAGGACAATCATGGTGCATCAGAGCGGCTAAAGGTCAACTGCCCTGATGCCAGATTGACAATGTGTTCTGGATTCAGCCAGAAAATGAATCTGGAGCTTCTTGTGTAGAAAACGGTTGCTTGTGTGCAGGCTGTGAATACTAATAATTCTGTGCAACCTCAAGATAGAATGAAAGCCAGTTTGGCTAAATCTGTTCATAAATAAATGAATAATCAAAGCCACTGAGGCATCCAAAGGTAGAACTTCTGTAAGACTGAAGCAAACATAAATCAAGATTCCGGGAAACAAAGTTAGCTTAAACTCCCATAGCCAATGAGCATCCATTTTTCTTTCTCCAGAGTGTGAATTTGAATGTCTGATTTAAAAGGATAGATCACCCAAAACAAAATGTCTGTCAACATTTACTCTCATGTCATTCCAAACCTGCTCTTTCTTTTTTCTGTTGAAGGCAAAAGGTGAATTCCTGAAGAATATGCTGGCTATAATTAAAGTGAATGAGGACTGGGGCTGTCAAGCTCCAAAATAGAGAGAAAACAGACACATACACAATTAAATGAACATAAAAACCTAAGTGTCATGAACAGAGCTCTTTGGCACATTCATGTGTAAAGATGTTTAATCTTTGAATTAGTCAAATCTTTCCGAAGAATCATTTACAAATCTAATCTTGTTCTTGGGTTTATCTCAATGATTCAGCTCACTGAAGGGAAAGATCATATGGGGAATGTTTTCATCCAAGCTGCGACCTAATTTATGCAGAAAGGCATAAATATTGGAAAAACAGTTTGCAAATAAAGCAGTGTTTCCATCCAATGCATTCAAGAGAACAAAATATGTTATTAAATGTAATAAATGACTAGCATTTTAGAGCGTACAGACAAAATGCACAGACAAACTAGGTTAAGGCAAAGTCACTTTTTGATGTACATACAGGAATTTATTCAGTAATGCATTTCAGTTGTTTTTCATATGTATGCATTCTCACTGAAGAACAACAACAAATCTTCAAGCAAGATTATTATTTGCATCTTGATGCATCCACTCAACATTTTTTTAAATGCAATATCACAAAATCTGCATAAAAAATATGTGGAAGGAAGCCCAATAATAACTGATGTTTCAGCCTGAGACAATACTGGTTTTAGAATAACTACTTTTATAGTGTTTCCGGAGTCTTTCTGAAGCTTAAACTCATTCATCATAAATGCAAGGCAAAAAAGCGATAACCACATTCTCCTTTTAAGTTCCACTGAAGAAAGTAAGTCATATGGGTTTGGGACAACATGACAATGAATGAATGATGACATTTGACTTTCCATCAGAGCAAGTTTAGACAACAGAAAACTGGACTTTATCGAAGAGAACAACATTATCAGTCTCCGTCAATCTGACCAAGAGTCCAGATATGAAAAGTAAAAGCGATGCTGATTTGCCAAAAAGAAGACGGATTGAAGGCTGCAGAGATGGGAATCCAAACAGAAAGATCGAAACAAGGAGATAAGGAGGAATGAAAGCTCAAGAATGATGAGAAGACACTAATCAGAGGACAGGAAATGACAGATATAGAGACAGACAGAATGACAGAGGGTAAGAGAGCTTGAGCCCATCATCTCACTCTGTGTAGGGCTGATTGATGGCTAACAGAGGGAAGGTGACAGGCGTTTCATGTAGGTGATTTATGTCATCCATGGAGACACCATTGCTTGCACTTTTTCACCCTGTCACTGCACCCCAGCGCTGACACACGCGTGACATCCGCGACCTGTAATCTGTTAGAAGTCTCAAAGATCTGAGATTGCGCTCACACACACACAAACACAAACAAACAGAGATCCTCCCCCCACAGAAACACACACAATCCCAGACACACACACACACACACGTTCAGAGACATAACTCAAAGGGTTAGTTTTCAGATGTTAGCTCTGAGGATCTGTTGAGCACAGCCTCTGAGAAAACCTGTCACGGACTAACCATAAAAAAACGGCTCGCTTATGTCTCCCTTTCTAAGCCATCGCCATGGCAACAGCGCAGGTGATGGCTCTTGTGACAGTGACTGACAGCTCGCAGAGGCCACTTTGTTTGAAGTGCATGAACCAATCAGACAAGTGATACGCCGGCTCGTCAGCATTCACTGTATACTTCGGCTCATTATGTCAGCTATCAATCAGAAGGCAACATTTTGGTTGCAGAGGCCTGGAAAGACATCCATCAACGCAACAAAACAAAGAAGATGAGCGAACGCCAATGATCACAAAAGAATGCTAAGGCTGGGCTCCTAATCATTTTCCCCAAATTTCCAGCTATACGAGGACTGACTGTATCGCCGCTCATTACCATGTCCCGTGGCTGTAAGAACGGCAAAGAAAGCTCGGGCCAATGCGTAATAAACATCACTCAATCCATCTTACTCTTTGTCCTTGGTCAGTTGGTGCCAGTAAACAGATCGGGTAATGATGTACTGTGCAAACACTATGGCGTGAGTGACAAGGCTCATTTTCAGGCGAACTGAAGGAGCCCGGTGCCTTGAAGCGGAGGGCTTGGGCAAATTAGTCTGCCCAAATGGAACAAACAGCAGTGACAGACATTGCAATTTACTCAATTACATGCCCGACACATATAGGCTATCCTGTTCACAGAAATGATGTAGGATAGAGAGATTGAGTCTTTTCTGTTTGAGGAAAGGAGGGATTTTCAGAGAGGCTAAAAGTTTCAGAGAGGATCTGAGGTGAAGGGAAGGGGAATATATATGCAGGGACAGGTCTGGGTCTGTGGGGAAGTCAGAACACAATGCTTCTACTGGCTTTAGCCATGTCAGACCTCAATCTTGATATTTTTATTAAGAATGGGATGAGCGAGACAAGTTACACTATTGTTCAAAAGTTTGAGGTTGATATAACGTTTGAAATTATCTTATGCTCACCAAGGCTATGTTTATTTGATCAAAATACAGTAAAAACAGTAATATTC